TGACTGTAGCGAATTCGCGGATTAGCTTTCTTTAGCTGTTTTGAATTAAGTTCTCTTGAACATTTGAGTAGTTGAAAGATAACTACTGTGAGATATTGTAATATTGCTCGAATATCTGAGAAAATTTAAGCATTTTGGTTTAATTTTTTTTATAATAATAAATTTTCTTCGTTTTTCATCGGACTTGTGCATTCATTTCATAGCGAAACCGTACGCATGCAACAATACATTTTGGTGTTCATAAAAGACAGAATCTATGAAATTAGAATTAAAAAATGTTCAAGTTCTGTCGTCAAAATTGTTTTGACGCCTGAACAAGATCATTAATTGGTAGCCTCGCAGCTAATTTATAGGTTAAACTTAATTTGGTTGAATCTAAACACTAGTCTAACATTCCAGAAAATAGGACTAATTATTCAACTACATTTACCTTAGCAACTAAAAAAACAAACTAAAAATTTTATTAGCTAATTAAAACAACTCACAAACTTAATTTTTTCCGTTATAGCTTAACAGACAGTAACGAATGATTCAAAATATTTAAAAGCCAAAATTTGAATTTAAAGCCTAAAACATATCTTCTCTATTCCATAATCACTAATTTAATTTTTGGTTTAAAGACCAGCCTGTCAGCTGGTAGCAATATAGTTAATAATAGTTAAGTGTCACCGCGTGACGTGTGGCTCCAAATTCTCTCTCCTAAGTTTAAATTCTCGCTCAAATTTAAAACTCATTTCATTTACATCTTCTATGAAGTAAACGAAATGGCAGAAATTCAATAATGATTTAAACGAAATGAAATAGCGTGTTAATTAAATAAACGTTTCTTGCAAATCCAATCAACTAATTTAGATTAGCTTGTTAATGAAGAAGATTAATGCATTTAACGCATAATACGCAATGTAGGAATAGCAGAAATCAAAGCACAATTTTTTATTGTGGTGGAGAAAGAGTCACTTGTACAGAATGCGTTATAGGGAGACTAGATAATCGAAATTAGTTCTTTTTATAATGAGAAGGATTTAATTATTGCTATGAATACATGAAGATTATCTTACATGCGGTATGTAAACTAAATAACAATTGTAAAGATTATGAAATCTATGAGCTTACAGAGCTGAGTTACAAACATTTCGACTCATTAAAAAAAAAAAAAATCTGAAAGGTTTCAGATTTTAAATTACGTCCAAAGGGGCCTTTTTTTAACATTTTGCCTGTTACCTTTATTTATTAAATATCACGTTCTTCTCATATAAACCCTAAAATTCAGTTCAACAGCAATATCGCAAAATAGTTTTAAATTGAGCATATCTTTAGAATTTCCGATATGCAGTCTCGCGCGCTGGAGTTAAAAACTTTTTTTTCTGTGCATTGTTGCCATGGCTCGCTCTGAAATTTTTTTAGTCAAAAATTCGTTAAAGATTTACAAAATATGAAATCGATAATAGGATTACGTCATTCAAAATTCGATGGCTCTAGGTACCGTTGTTCTATCACAATGCGAGAAATATACATACATTTATGCAGATTTTTCATTATTTAATTTCTTCGAATATAATGCAGGACTCTAACATTTGGTGGCAACAGTGAAAAGGGAAACGGACCTTTATAGTGAACTAACGCAAAATCGCAAAACGAAAACAATAGTCCTTCAGGAAGAAAGCCCCTTTGGACTAATAATAATAATGCCAACACTAGTCATCTACTTGAAAAAAAAATTGAATAACATTGAAAAATAAGAAATAACATGCAAGCTGTAGTCAAGAGAACTAATTTTATGTTACTACTTGCATATTTTCATGTAAGTTTAATTTTACCTTTGGGATGAATTTTGATTTAAGTAGCAACACTAAAGTAAGAAATCGTAGTGAGTAATAGATATTAGTGTGTAGGTGGAAAACTAGAAATTTTGTTCGTCAAATGCATAATCAGGTATTAAAAGCGCTTTTAACAGAATACACAAAAGGCAGTAAAATCGAGTAGGAGTTTTTTAATTTGGCTAGGTTTTTTTTTTCAAGGAAAGGTAGCAGAAGAACCTACTGCAGTCGAAAAGAAGACAGATGGTACCTAAAGAAACATTTCTTCCCTCTGAAAGTTTCCATTTAGTGTGTCTAAGAAGAAATTATTTTGGCTTAGGGTATTTTCTGCCGCCTTTCCGGATGCCTTCATGGTGAAGCACGCTCAACGTGCATTCAGAATGTTCGGAATCCCGAATATCCCGTCGAAGGCATTGGCGGAATTCGTCAGTCTCCTACATTGATATAACCGAATTACTCTGCACAGGTATAAGGTATTTTATGTTAATTATCCAATTATTATATTGAAAACCTTTACTTATAAATGCTTCTTTTCGTAATTCTCACCAGAATACAAATTAGGTGGTAGATTATTTAAGTAGAAGGTTTTGAATAGCTTACAATTAGAGATTTTGAGATCCTCGCCTGTAATTTGACGTCTTATCGCCCACCTCTGCCAGCGACCAACTGGAATTTGAATTTCCACTTATATTATTTAAAATACCCGCAAGCTGTGAAGGTTATTGGCACTCATAAGTAGTGCCTTCTATTTAATTTAAAGATTTAATAAAGAGGTTATTTTAACCTTCTCAGAACTTTTGTCATAGTAATTCAGACGGAGCTCTTATCGCTTGTCTGTCTATTAGGGTTAAGAAGACTTTGATTTAATATTTCACAATTAGAGACCTACACGCATTTTGAGTTAAATATTAAGAATAAATATTTCGTTTTTTCATTTTGCTGAACAAATATTTCGCTCTATGAATCCTAATTTTATTAGCATGATTTTAGACTTCGAGGCAGAGCTGGTATCTTTTCAAAATTCTGCATTTAGTTTATTCGTAGTATGCAGGTTAAAAAATCCCCTAACACTAAGATCTAGCAAAAGGTATTAGCTAAAATCTTATCATGCGTATCTTATTTCTGCCGTTATTATCGCGCACATTGAGCAACTTGTCATATACAATACTATCTGCTAGGTTTTTGCGGCTAAATTCTAATGAGATTATTTTCTTCTTTGAGTAAAATCGTTGCTTCACGCACCCTTACTTGAAACAGTGAATGAAGGAAGCAGTTCTATCCGGTCAAAACTCCTTCAAGCAGGAAAGAAGCAAATGGATTGGATCACCTGCTTACGGATTAATTCGAATTATGATAACAAAAATCTCTTCATAAATAATCAGCAAACAAAAACCAAGTAAAAGTCTATGCGATTGTTCAAAAATAACATATAAGGTCAGAAGTTCTGAGAATTTTAATGTTGAAACAACTTGAATTGAGGAAGCAATGACTGAGGGAACAGGGGCTGCAGAGTGAGACCGTGGTTTTGCTTGGGTCGTAGCATTTTGCATGCTTCGTAATCAACTTCATTATGGCAGGACTGGCTCGGTCTGCAAGAGTTTTGTATACAGCCCTCATTGACACCTACGGAGTGAGTCGAGAACTTGCTACGTCTCCTTTCAGCACTAGAGTTTGTGTTAGGAACCTGTCCGGTAAGATTTTTGTCTTTATTAGATGCACCTCTGTATTTAATTAATACATATTATACTCCACCGAAAGTTAAATTGTATACTTCATAAATATTGCAATACCAACCAGTTAATACAAATATTGATGTTTTTTTTTTTTTTTTTTTGATGGAAGGTTTGTATATCAACTAAGGAATTGTTGGGGTGATTTTCTGAAGGTCAGAGGTAATTTTATCAGTTAATTGTTTGGGTTTTCACTAGAGCAGGTCACTTTTTCTTTTTCGCTTTCCTTCAAAGAAGTTTTGTTAGCGCTACGTTTTGATAGTCTTGAGTTGTAGATATTTATTTAATTTAATTTTATTGTTTATAATTTCTAATTGTAGATATAATATTAGTTTATTTTTTTATCGGATTTTTAACTATATTCCAAATGGATTGGAGAGGACTGACCATTTCTGAAGCACGAAAGTGCTACACGAATTGCCTTCAGTTAGTGAATCTAATATGGATCCTGGCAAAACATGCAATGTTGGGTTGTGCTTTTTCAAAGGTGGTGTCCCTTTTTTCGAAAAGTACCACCATGATAAAAATAAACGAAAGTGTAAATATGAAATGTAAATAATGTAACTATCATATGCCCAAGTTACTTTTTTATACGCATGTAATCATCATATAACCAAGAAGAGCTTTTTTAAGGGGTATAGAATAGCAGGCCTAACCGTGACACACCCTGGGTAATGCTAAGTCTGCATTCAGAATCTAGTGTTTTTTAATATTAGGCAAAATCTCTTACTCTTTTATGCGCTATCAGCTATGCTCGTTTAAGCACTCTTTTCGAAGCTCTACTCATTCAGTGTTTCCGCTTCGGGCACACAAAGAGAATTAAAACGATAAATGCTATATTCACAAAATTTTACTTATATGCTCTTCCAGGCCTGATTAGACCGCCTACCTTTTTCCTGCCGAAATTTCAACTTTAAAAGGTTAAGTCAGTTATGGGTTTAATGTGCCTGTAAGGGTTAAGTCAGTTATGGGTTTAATGTGGCCGTCTTTCAGCTGGTCTCTCTTGACTTCATCATCACTACATACGTCTTGATCAGCCGATGGTGAGGTTGCAATTTGTCGCGCGACCAGACCCAGCATCTAGTGTTTTTCTTCTACCAGCATGATAACGGCAGCTTTCTGAGCAGGGTCTTCCGGAAAAGGCGTCGGCGTTTCCATGTGAGGATCCCTTCTTGTGTAGTTTGTTGAATTTAATTATTTCTGTACTTTAAAAGAAGACTCAACTAATGAGTATAACTCAAGAATTCAAAACTTTTATTATCGATTTCGTAACCTCGTGGTCAGCTTGTTTAGAATAACAGAAGACAGTTTGCCTTCGAAAGTTTTCTATGAAATTCCCGAGGCAGATATTCTCCAAATAAATTTGTCCTATTAGCAATCCTGTATTACACCTTTGGTATCTAAGCGAAAATTAAAGTCTCCAAAAATAAAGAATGGTACTTTCTCATATTGGTCAGTAGAAAACATCTTCCATGGCTATGAAATTTGATGCGTCATGAAAAAGATGTATATTGACTAGATCAAAGATTGTATGACCAATACTCCAGCGTGTTCTCATGAATCCTTCACTCTCAAGAAATATCTCTGTGGGAAATTTTAATTTTTCTTTCGTTCCAAAATGCTCAATACTTCCAATATAAACTTCTTTCCCTGTCAAAGGTAAGTATTTGTGGCCATGCAAGTCCCATATTTGAACATTCTTTGAGTTGTTATGTATAAAATATAAACTTCGAAGTGCTGTATATTTTTCTGGACATCTGATATCTTCATCAAGAAATATCCTTAACTGACCAAAAGGACACAGCTGTTCACTGGTTACGAGAGCTCTTAAGAATTCTTCAACATGCCCCATAGATTCTTTAGTATTTTTACCTCCAACTTCTTGGCAATGCAAGGTTATAAATTTTGGTTGATAACGCTTAACCACCAGTAAAAACTCCCTGAGCCAAATTTTCAACAGTTCTTGTGGTCATCAGCATCTGTATCCATATCTTCTTTAATGGAAAACTCAGGATTTTCATATTCATAGTCTTCAAAATCATCTTCATCAGACTTCCGTTCACGGAGTTCAACATGGACAGGCTCATTTTCATATGCACAAAGAGGTGCAGGCATTGATAAAACATTCGTATCAAGGCACTGACTTGTCTGAATTAATCATCTGAACGAGCCATCAATTGATCCACTGGCTCGTGGACTTGAGTTCTGATTAGGTGGTGATCTCTACGAGTTGCTTGCTGGGCTGCCTCGAATTTCATGGTATACACTAGAGAAGCGGTTCTCAACCTTTTGAGTAACGCGTACCATCTAAACAAAAACTGAAAACTTTTAGAACCACTACTACAAAATACTGATACTACCACCACTCTTGAACAAAGCTCAGATCTCATAAACTTGTGATTGTCAGAGAAAAAACTCAATCAGGATTTTGGGGTCTTAATTTTTGAATTTCATAGTTAAAGATACTTTGCTTCTTTGTGTACCACCTGTTTTCCCCTTGCGTACCACCGGTTGAGAACTCCTGCACTAGAACTTTTTTTAAGTCCTTGACATCCGCCATTCCTAAAGCTTTCTGTATTTCAGGATCCTTTATGCCGTCGATAAAGTACTACAAGGACAGTATTTCCCTTGTTTCTGTCGGGAACTCCAAAAAGGTCAGATGAGACAGCCTTTCAATGTCCATGGCGAGCTTCTGGAATGTTTCCGTGGACTTGTGTTCACGGGATTTTAATTGTAGCCTGCTGTAGTCATTTAAGCATTTCTTCGCGGAATGCAGCTCCACCGCCCCGGATAGAACTTCGAAATCTAACCTTTTGTTTTCAGAAAGAGTCTGAAGGATATCTGCTCGTTTGCTCTCAGAGAAGCGGCGAGATGACAACCTTATCTTGGGCATCCCATCTACTCGCTTCCTCCACTATAGAAAATCGTGTTTTGTACAACTGCCAGGAGGCCTTCCCATCATAGATGGAAAGCTTCAGAGAGATACGAGCAGACATGGGTAGAAATTTTAAACCTTCAGGTTTGTTTTCTGCTTTCGCTACACTTCTTTTAGGTGTCAACGTCTTTGCCAACGGCAGCAGAAACTCTGTCATCAATTTGTTGTTGGATGGCAGAAACTCTTCCTTCAATTCGTTTCTTCACAGTTTTTTCTTCTATTTGTTATTTTACAGAAGAAAGTCCTTCTTCAATATGTCCAACTTCGTTTTCAACAGGTAGGTCAATTCTATAATACAGGTAATCTCTTTTATATTTCCTTTTGACCTACTTTCATCTTTTGCTTTAACAGATTTTTGACCAGCTTCCAACTTTTTTGAAGAGCTTTCATTTTTATTTAACGGATTCTTAATCTTTAATCTTTTTAAAGGATGCTTGGCCAGCTTCCATCTTTTCTTGGAATGCAGCAAAATGAGCAAAAGCGGTCATGAGCTGTCTTAATTATACTTCGGTCGCTCTTGTCAATCACATTCAATCCCACGTTTGTCACCAGAAAGTGTTGCGTGCGTACGGGTTCGTAACAGATTGAACGCACATGTCCGATAAAAGCTTAATAAAATTTATTCTTATCAAAAGAAATATAATCAAAAACTGGAATTTTTCTCAAATATTTGTAAAAGTGTTCACAATATTCACGTAGTAATAATCAGTAGTAATACTTTGAACTACTAAAAACGTTAAACAGAACGCAAAGCAAAGCACAGAGAAGTCTAATGTGATCAACAATATCAACGGCAGCTAACTAAGCAACTGAGCTGAAATGTCTCTTTCCTGCTTTTTAAAACTTTCATTCGATCGTGAGAGAGTGCTTGTAATTTCTTTGCTTCTCAAGATTAAACAGACAGGCCGACAAAGTAGACAGATGACTCGTTCTGCACCTGCTAAGTCTTTCTGCACCGATGGGCAAAAAATCAAGCTTAGGTGAAGGAAAGGTATATAGAAAAGGGGAAATTTCGTATTTCAGAGAAAAGTAAAAAGGAACTTCGTACATTTTATACGAGTTTGAAAGGCCAGGAAGAAAGGATGGGACAAATAAAACTAAAATAAATAGTCCCAAATTAATAGAGAAAAAAAAAAAAAAAAGGGCCTAGAGAAAGAAACTGAAAAGAAGTAGTAAATTTCCTAAACTATGATTGCGTCCACGAGTGTAGTCAAAAGGGAAGAAGAAAGCTGTGTTCATTATAATAAATAGTGTCTTCCAGGTGTTCGTAATGAGTGTCTGGAAACCATGCAGGATAGAATACCAATCAGAAACCAAGTAGATGATAGAATTACTGTTACAGCTAACACAGTAGTCAATTACATTTATTCAATTTCAATACAAATAAAAGAGATATTCATTTATTAACTTTTAAGTGCAAGTGCTCTTATATATATATATATATATATATTTCTGCCTAGCTTTCTCTTAAAATTCAATATGCACTGCATTACATGGGGAAATAAAACCATTTTAATTATAATTCTACTAAAAATATCTAACTAAATACAAAATTCGTAACAATATTTTTACTGGAAAATACATGCACGGAACAGCTTAAAAACGTACATTTCACAGCCGTAATGCAATGTTTTGATTTTACAAAAATGGACGCTGCTGGTTTATTCTCAGATCATGATGGAAACTGCGAACCTAATGATTTCGAACTTCTATTTTATTTATGACGAGCTAAAGCTTCTCTATTCTTTCTATTTGCCTTTTCTTCACACGTCTGTTTTTCACCCTATGGTTAGGAAGACTTAGCGGATGCAAAACGAGACATCTGTGTCCTTTGTGTGCGTAAATTTAAATACTATGTTTTCATTTGAAGTATGGATTTTATCTCATGGCTCAATCTCAGAAGACAATGTTCATACCAAGACGTTGCTTACTTAGCTTAGGCTTGGACGCGCCTTTTTATGTTGGTAAGTGTATGATCGTTTTCAATAATTTAAAGGGAAAAAAAAAAAAAAAACATTTATGTAGTGATGCGCGTGTTCCCTTTTGGTTTTTTCCCGCATTTCGCAGTAAGTTTATTAAAAGTACTTATTATTGCTGGTATTTATTGCGGACCTTTTGAATCATCTATATTTTGCAAATGTTATCAATGTTTGACAGTATATATGTATGTGAAAGTGCTTTTTCTGCTGTCAAACAAATTAAATCAAAAACAAGAAATCGCATTGAAAATGCTTTACTGGATCGAGCCCGAGACTTTGCCTTACTGAAATTAAAGTGGCCATTGATAAACTTGTACCAAAAAAGCAGTGCCAATCATGACATTGATTTCTAGACCGTAAAATAAAGTGATATATTAAACTAGTGATTTTTTATATGTAATTCATTTTCTTTCTTTAATGTCTCTGGCCCCCACTCTTCTATACTAAGGTTTGATTGGCCCTAAAGATTGGACCATACTGGTGGAATGCAAAGATGAATTTCCTTTCGTAACTACTCTGATATGCACCCTCAAGTCGCCAAACATTTTCGGTAAGAAACTCCACGCTGCCATATTACTATCTAAATATTTTGTTTAAATTTCGAACTTTAAGCCTAAAATGTCTGCAAAAACCACGTTTTGAACACACAATTCAAGCTAAAAGTCTGAAACAAACGCAAAAAATTTAGATAGCAAAAACGTAAAGTTTCTAACCAAAAATATTTGATAAGAATCCTTGTACACAGCGACATTTTTTAACTTGAAAAAACATCGGTAAAATCCTAGTATACGGTGCAGCCTTGGGGCGATTTTGAAAATTATCGCCAACACCAAAAATGACTGAAAGAACGTCTATGTATATACTATACACTATATACATAGTATATACTATGTATAACTATATATATTCTTTGAATACCCGTTTACTACTCATTGTATATGCCCCGTTTTTACTGCTCATCATAAAAGTAGCCAAATACCGTGTGCACTGGATACTAGGATTAAACCAAAACATCTACAATTTGCAAAATATAGGCAGCGAAGGAATCTACAAACTATGCACACCTCGCTTTAATAAATTAACATAACAACAATAAATTTCAAAGAATACCATGTACACAGCATCCTGTTTAAACTTATTAAAAAAATATATAAAAAAAATCTACGAATTGCGCAATTTAGGCAACGAACGAATCTACGAACTACTCACACCTCACTTTAATAAATTAACATAACAACAATAAATTTCAAAGAATACCATGTACACAGTGTTCTGTTTAAACTTTAAAATACATCTACAAATTGCGTAATTTAGACACTACGCACTAATCAACAAAATAAACTAAAATAAATTTAAAACAATTAAAAAAACAACAATAACGACAGAAATTCATACTAAAAAAACAATGAACATAACATTCTACAAAATAAGAACAAGTATAAAATAATTAATGCTTTTGCAAACAGCAGAAATACTAATTTCATATCGCCTTTAAAATGCCACCACGTAATCACTATCGTATTTATATGACAGCCAGACACACTATCCAGAAAATTCATAGGCTGATCTTTAGAATATAGGAACTGGTAGTTTGACGACATTTTGGAGGCCATAAAGGTTACTACCTAGGACTTTGGTAATAATGTGAGAAGTACTCAGTTCCGATTACGCATTATTTTGTGTGAGGGAAATGAGAGATCATGAGATATGTCATGTGACATTAATGGACGAATTACAGTTCTTTAATCGGAAAAGGGGGGGGGAATTTGGAAAACTGTAGTACTATAATATTATGTATTAAGCTTCATTGTGTGTTGTGTGAAATAGTGGAAGTGTGCGTGCCACGTAATGGAGATTCTGAAGAAGATTAGGTAAGTTAGTATTTTTAATCATTTGAGGATATTATTTTTATGCATTGTTCTAAATGTAAGGAGTAAA